ATCTTTGTAGATGAATTGGAATTTCACTGGCAATATCATGATGAATGATTAGAAAAAATGGTGGCCAATTTTTCTCTTCCACAACAATTCCAGCTACAAAGTAGAGAAGTGAAACTGTAGTTCATGACAAAAATTAAGTTTTGACCATAAAAAGAAATAAAATAAGGTAAAAAATTTTGCAAAAAAGTATAGAGTAATCTAGACCAAATACTGAAGCTGAGAACAAAATGAAATGTGATCACTGAGACTAGTTAAATAAAGGAAAATGAAAGCTACCTCTTGCTATTGCTTCTTTTTTCTGCCTCACTTCATGCAAGGAGTAAGCTGACCAATGAAATTGTAGGGATGATATGATCTTTCATTCTATTTATTTGAGAAATAAATGTGCAAGAATATGACCTTGCAGCTTAAAACCATCCGAATGACTTAGTACACTAAAATAGATCGAGAAACACATGATATTCCACCAACAGCTTGATAAAGTATCCTAGCAGTGTTTTATGATACTAGGATACTGAGATTATTGAGATAAATTTTTGCTTTCATTACATCAAACTCTAAATAGGTCGATGATACATCTTTAGAAGAGAAATGAGAGAAAAAGTAAATCTATGATTCAGTAGATCCTAAATGAATTCAATGTTGTAAAATCTATTATACAACATGCCTGTTCCTGCCTTTTCAGTTCCGCTTCCTTAGCCTGGACTTTCTTGTTTAAATCCTACATTTAAACTGTAAACCAGGAAGTGAGATTCAGGGCTTAACCGAATAATGTAAATGAAATTTAGAGACATTTCTTTACCAACCTGATTATGTGATCCTCCTGAAGCTGTATCAAGAGGAATATCAATTATTGCCCCATGGTCATAACTGAAACCGGCATGTTCCAGAGGTAGCGGTGAAAGTCTTGAGTTTGAGGCAGGTGGAACACTTATAGTACTCTGAAAATTATTGACAATACGCATTCAAGAAGCAGATAATATAAGCAACTATTCCAGTATACAGTTATTGATAAGTGATATTAAAAAGCAATATTAGAGATGACCAAATCAAAACAAATATAGCAAGGAAACTATTTTTTCAGGACTAAGTCATCCTAAACCTTGGTTAAAATGAAACCTCACTCCTAAACCTCTCTCAGGCCCAGAGTTATAACTACCAATTTTGGATTCACTAATAGATCTGGCATTTCAGTATACGAGGGATTTAAAAGGGTTGTTAGCACAGTATGACCTCAATAAAAACCATAATCTTTTCCCATCATTCTAGCAGGTTCCTTGCTATAAAGTGATGTATGTTCTCAAGCACTTTCTCATTTCTGAACAATAACCTCATCACAAGTTTCACCTTAGAATTGGAATTTAAGGTATTAAATGAACTGCATTTCAATAAGCTCCCTGTAACAATGAGAACATTATGCCAATGTTAAAATTAACATAGGGAAAATTTTAGATAAGATAAAAAAATTAATTTACTTACCCTTTGGTGTTTGCAGCCGTGGACCAGAAGTCAAAGAGCATACAACTTCCTACATATCATTGCCAGAATGGTTGCCAAGAGAAATTTACGGTGATGGCCTCACTTTCCCCTTGTCTAAGTTCTTAAATGAACTCCCTCGAGACAAAGAAGATACTTCGTTGGGCCTCAATGATCTTGGTGATCCATCAACAACCTGTCTTTTTGGAGCTGAAGCACCCTCTAGATTTTCAATATGTCTCTTACTTAAGATATGTGTACTTGAGATAAGTTTATTTTCCATTTTCCCCTCAGCATCCAAACCTTGAAAATTCAATCGCAAAAGGATGTCAGCACATGATTTTGTCTGGGTGTAATTTTTATTCTCTGTTTGAAAACTAACCTTGCTTTTGGTTTTCAGTTTCCTCAGCCAGCTTGCATTCTTCACAGAGCCAATCACCTTCAGAAACTTTCCGAAGCATTTCTCGCATACAGTAACTGATCAATAGCATTAATAACATTAAACTCACCAGTTTTATCCAGTGGGTTCTCGCTACTGCCCTCAATATCTTCTTCTAACTTGGGATGGATTTTGGGAGAAATCTCATATCTGCCTCCAACGACACTCTTGCTGCTTCCAGAATGTGAAGATGGAATTTGGATCATAGTTGAACTACCACCAGAACCTTCGTCCTTCATAGAAGGAATTGACAAGTCTAGCTTTTGGGAAGAGGGCACCTTTTCGGATCCTAAACTACAAACTGACACTGAACTATAAGATGAATTATTATAGTCTAAATCCTTGTTACAATAACTAAAATCTATATTTCCATCACCGGCTCTACCAGCACATGAAATACTATCAACACGGCATTTAACAACTTTAGAATACGATCTTGCAGTTGCTTTACTTTCAATATTTTCAGACAAAATAGAAATAACAAAACCCCAAATATTAGAATAGAGAACGAGGAATACATGTGGAAACCCTTAAATTTTGACTCCCTCGTCTGCGGTGAATGGCCAAACCAGTGGAAGGTTGCAAAGAGAAAAAGAGAAAAATGGGGAAGCAAGCGGCGTGAGGGAAGGAGCGGGAAAAGATGAAAATAATAGAGGGGAAAAAAAATTAAAATAGGACTTTTAAAGATGACACACAATTAAAACTGTACTCCGTGTTTTTACAAAATTTTTTGATTATGACTATTAAATATGACACACATTATTGTAGATCATAAACCGTTCATATTTTAAAAAACATGACATTATTTTAATGACACACATTTTTTGTAAGTCATAAATTAGCGTGTGTCATTAAAGGTATATTTTCTTGTAGTGGACACTTGTAATCAGAGGCTAACAAGTGTAATCAGTGATTCATTTTGTTTGCTATGATTTGATGCATTCTCTAATATGCTCTTTATGAAGAAAAAAATTGTTTTATTCAATTTGTGGTTTTTAAGTTTTCTGCACTTTTTTTATTCTTAGATTTAATCTTCATTTGTTTTAGTTTTCTAACCCTTTCTTGTTTCTTGTATTAATAGGAACAGTAATGCTACACCTTCCTTCATCCGTGCAAGAAACATCATTTTCTGTCCGGCGTTTTTGTTAGAACTAAAATCATAATGAATATGAAAAACAACCATGATCTAATCATGTCAAATTATCAAGAACAAAAAAATATTAGTATCGACATTTTTATTTTCATGACACTTTTAATACTAGATTGATTATTTCTTTAAGTATAAACTCTCTGAAGGGGATAAGGGTAAATACAAGATTGTCTATATATTGGGGACCATAACCCTTTATATAGTTGATTTAAAAATCAGTTATTGTTTATACTTATAACTCTGCTCCTTATCATATTATAAATACAACTTTAATAATATCTAGACTTTTATTTCTATGACACTTTTAATATCTTATGACTTTATAACATAATTGATTACTTAATTTATGTCATATTTTATGATAACAATGTACATTATAAATATGTACCCATAATTATGGATTTTAATCCAACATTCTTATCTTATGGCCTCTTAGTTCTTAGGTATGGTTTACTAGAATGATCACCGCACTATATATTCTTTGAGATTAGTCACTGTTGAAACGACTTTAAAACTTACAAGATTAACTACTTGTCTCAATGAGTAAATTTTTGATAAAAAGACATTTGAGGATCTTGTACTTTTTGAAAAAAAAAATTAATATGACACTCATATTATTTTTATTACTCTCTAACTTATAAAACAAAACTAATGTGACATTTTGACCAACATTTTTTGTTGTTGATCATTACGGTGCTGATATGACAGTTCAAGGTCTTGACCTAACAGTCTACGGTGCTGACGTGGTAGTCCATCTGCTATGTTTGAGTTACCATTTAACCCATCCGCCACGTTATCAAACCGTGGACTACACATCAACATCGTAGACTACCATATCAACACTGTAAATCACCACATCAGTACCTTAACAGTCAATGGTGAAAAATGTTGATCAAAGGGTCACATTGAGTTTATTTTTTGAATTAGAGAGTCACATTGAGAGAAAAAATAATGGTGAAAAACGTTGATCAAAGGGTCACATTGGGTTTATTTTTGAATTGGAGAGTCACGTTGAGAGAGAAAATAATGGTGAAAAACATTGATCAAAGGGCCACATTTGGTTTATTTTTTGAATTGGAGAGTCACATTGAGAGAAAAAATAATACGATAACCACATTATTTTTTTTAATTACAGGGACCTTTGATGCCTTTTTCCTAAATTTTTTCTTTGTTAGTGTTAACAAGTTAGGTTTGTTTCTTGTTTCTTTTCAAGTGTCTTGGAGCAACGCATTTGATTTCACTTATTTTGGAATTATACGCCTCTATTGTGGTCAAAAAGGTCTTAATGAATGTTCATATAAATCTTATTTTCAAGAAAAAAATTAGCGTGGTAAGTGGTCTAAACTCATAACTTGTTCTAAACGTGACGTTATCGATGAATCATTTTGTAGCAAAAAGATTTGTTATAGTGAGCAATTTGAAGAAAACGAACCTACGAGTCATGTTATAAAAGCAAGTTATTTACTAGACTTGGTAAAGGAGTCCCAAACACTTAGTCTTACAAAGAAATTGCACTTTGATGACATTTGTAGTTTTTGAGGGAGATTTGAGATCACCTCAAGAGATGGAGAATATAAAAGTTGAGGGTGGAATAAATTATATTAACAACTCACCTATGGTGAAAGAAAAGAAAAATGAGGTAAAATCAGAAATTTATGCAGAAACTAAGAAAATAAAGAGCAAATGAAAATTCACTTGAAGCCTATGATGTATGTCAAGATCATGGCCTTTAAGTTGGCACTTGAAATTTTATTTGAACTAAAACATGCATTTGAGCACAGAAACCTGAAAACAAAGTTAAATCATCACTACAAGAAAAATGACTCGGGCACTCTATGAATAGTAATGTGTTTTCTTTTTCCTTGGACAAGTACCAGCAAGATCTCACTAGAATTATCCCTAATTCATGTAGTCAGATCCAGGGTACTTGCCAGTTTAAGCTAATGAAAGAGACAAATTGCTATTGGCGGCTTCTTCTTCTTCTTCATTTGATATATTTCTCCTAACTTGTTGCTTCAGCTTTGAGCTCAATGAGAGGCTCAAATCAAGGTCCTCCTCAGCCGGTTTTCTTTTGTTTATTCTTTGCCTTTCTTCTCCTCTTCCTAGCCATTTGTTTGCAGAAGTGGGATGCGTATGCATTACCATTGGCTGCATTTGTAGTTGGTCCTGAAGCTCTTCCATTTCCCCGACAGGTTGCTGGTTGAAGATGAAGTTATTATTCATATAGACAGCCTCATTCCTTGTGTTTGAACCAAACTCTTCATTCATGTTTGAATGACTAAAACCAGTTTTCCTTGTACTATTTATGCAATTACTCAAGTAAGAATCGGACATTGAATTCCCATGGACAGCACTCCATGGAATATCGCTGTATATGTTAGTGCCAGAAACATTAGGAGACTTAACTTACAAAGGAATAAAATGCTCAGTCTATACTATACCTGATTACTCTTAGATGATCGTGAACCTTGGACTGATGCCAGAGACGACTTCCCAAAAGGTGCCTGTTGTTTAGAACTGTCACATATACCATGATAGATGGTATTGTTAGAGAATATTTGTAGAAACTAATTAACCTAAAATATTTCTAGAACGGTCACTGACCCTAACAAGAGCTATTCGTACCTTGACCCTGATCATTGATCATCTTGCTCCGATGCATCTAGATACTCAAAAAATAAAATAAAAAAATCGAAATCAGAACAATCCCATTAAAGACTTCAATGGTTGATATCTAGATTTTAACAAAGCACCTGTAAATGGCTCTTGACATGAGAAATACTAAGACCCTTGATGTTCATTAGTTGCATGACCAGCTTTGGAGTAGCTCCTACACACCAAAGAGCACACCAATTTAAAAGGATATTTTGCTTTTTATTAGTAGATGGTTTGATTAGAAAGGTGGTCATCGTAAAAGTTCATCTTCCTTAGATTAGACTTGGTGTCTGTTTATTGTATTCTCTATTTTTTCTCTTTTTTCTGGATCAACACTGATTGCGACTTTTCATTCAGTCCAGAGAGAATGAACCGCCTAAGACCACATTCTTTCTCAGACCATCAACACTATTCATATTAGTTAGTTGAAAATCTACGAATCGGGATTTGAATAGCGGTTCGCTATTGCAATAGCACCCGCTGTATAGCAGTAGCAAAGTTATTCGTAACCGTTAAATCATGACTGTCACTGTAATTTAAATCCCTACTATGAATGTAGTAAATGGATGCAAGGATATTACTCTCGTGACCGCCGAGTCTCTCCACCGCTCGAACAAACGAAAGATGAAGCTCGGTGGTCCATCGTAGCCTTGGCATCTTTGATCTCACATACGGCCGAACTGCATTTGAATTCGCCTTCTTCTCACCTTCTTCAACTATGCTGTTGCTTGAACTTGTACCATCTTTGACTTTACTTCCATCATCACCTTCCTTATCTTCATCCAGCTTCAATGGATTCTTCTTCATCATGATATTCTTGCAAGTTGATTTGAACAATTCAAGTACAAGTCTGTGAGAAAGAAGGTTCCATAGCTTGGAAGAGTGTAGAACTGGGTTTCCCAATCTATTCCAAATGGAAAGTACAAACCCTAAAAGCACTCAGTACTTGGTGGAAATAATATTTTTCTTCATACATAGCGGACCCAGATCATATTCTGTGGATGATGACTGATACATACATGTCATGCACATAGCCACATACATGGGATACCTTCATATATAGTACGTATATTTGGAGAAATTTCAAAGCCCTCGAAAAGGTATGGGTGTTGGGGAAGACAGTGCAGTTGATTCCTGCTGTCGGTGATCACGGATTTGTCTTTGTCCCTCATTACCCATATGGCTGCTAGCTCTTAATAAGGACAAGCCTTGTATTTTATGGGCTACTCCCAAGATTCCTCTGCCTCTCCCACAAGATGTTAAATGTATATAATATATGAAATTTGCTGGTTCTCAAAGCATATCGGATTCAAAGCTACCTCCACATCACAGCTTCCATGATCGTGATTCTCTGAGCACCAAACTCAATGTGATTCTGGGGTTTTGTTTTCCGTGAAAAATGCTGAATTTTGACTATGAGATTCTTAATTACAAAGTTTTCACACGGCATACTCATCAGCATCAAGCCATCAACTGTAATATTGTTCGGGGGAAAACATCATATGCATGCTTGAATTGCCGAAACATTTACAAAACAATATCTCTGCTGTATGCATGAGAAGTTAAAAAAATGAATTTGGGAGAGACAATGGAGGTGGTGCATGTGAAGATGATGTGAAGATGATGAAAAGAGACGGGGAAAATTCTTTGTTTGATGTGCTTATGGAGAGCTGAGAAGATTAGGCAGGCATGGTCAACTCCTACCAATCTCTCCTTCCAAGGCAGGATGTTATCAAAACATTAATATAATAAGGTTGCATGAGAATACGTAGCCCTTTTTATGCGGATCGATCCGATATTCCAGAATGAGTATGTTTGTCCTTTCTCTAGCCATCACATCCCCATTCCTCATATCAATACATCGTATATCATGCCATCACTACAACAAAACTGTTATGTAGCAGCGTTTGGAGAGTAAACGTCACAAAAGTTAAACATATAGTAGTGTTTTCAATCCAAATGACACAAATTGAGACTTTGGTGGCGTTTTTTTTCTTAAAACGCTGTAATAGAGTAGAAATATAGCGGCGTTTTTACCAAAAACGCTGCCATAGGGTGGTATATAGTGGCGTTGCTCCAACAAACGCCGCAATTAAGAATAATTTTGCGTCGTTTTTAGACAAACGCCACAGAAGGGTTAATCAATAGCGGCATTTTTAGTAAAAATGCCGCAATAGAGTAGACATTTAGCGGCGTTTTAGGCCAAATGCCGCAATATAGTGTTAATTTAGCTGCGTTTATACCACAAACGCCGTAATAGAGTGGTAAATTAGCGACAGTTTTGTCTAAAACGTTGTAATATGGTTGTTTAAGTGGCGTTTTTTTTGAATAAACGCCGTAATAAATAATACTTTAGCGTCATTTTTGACAAACGCCACAATAGTGTTAATCAATAGTGGCGTTTTTTCTATAAAGCCGCAAAAAACATGTGATATAGTGGCGCAAAATGTTAAATATATTGTACTTCCTTTTCTCCTACCTAAACCCTAAACTCATTTCAACTCTTCCTCCCTCATAGTTTCTTCTCTGGTACAACAACGACCCTCACATGATTCCAAGCGACATCGTCTTTTATCTGTCCCGGCGACCAAATCAACCCTCTCACCGACGAACTATAACACAATTCCACGGTTTGATTTCTCTTATCACTAATGATCTTTTTAATTTTTGTTTTTGTTGGTATTCTGAAAATGGGGAAAACCCAGAAAACTAACGTATTTGAGAGAAAAAAAAGACCAGGTGTTGCCTTGAGTAAGAGAAATTATCGTCGGAATGTCTACGTGGCGTATTTGCTCTGACGATAGATCAAATTATCGTTGGGAGGCTATCGGTCCGGTCTCTCCATCGAAACTCGATGATGACTCAAAAGGAACTCCTATTGCTTCATACCCTTCCATGGTCGATCTCCTACTTGAAGGTAATAATCTATGAATGTTTCTGTCGCTATATTTCCCTTTTTGTACGCTCACTCAAATTTCATAGATCGTACGCATGTAGGATCTTCAAAGCTTATTGAGAACGATGATAGAGGAATGGATAAATACCCTATGTTTAGAACCGAATTCGGTAACTCTGTGGCGTTGAAAGAATCTTCAATTGCAAAAGCAGTATCGATCCTCAATGAAGACGATGTTGTCTCTACTGTTACTACAAGTAAATGTTTATATCATCTATTTAAATTTATTTTAATGTTTGATTCAGTTCCCTAGCCACCTCCAATCAAGTTTCATACTATAGGTGGAGGGGCGTTATCAGTTTCAAGTGAAGCACTGAAGCGCGAAAGGAGTCTTCTTGGTGAACCGGAGGTAGGAGATTTATTTGGTGAAATGGATGAAGAGTTTCTCCATATAGAGTTTACACGGAGGAAAAACTTAACGATGCGTTGTTAAACAAGGAAAATAGCTTTCCTACGTCCTTTCCCCATGAAGGAGCAATGAATACTAAATTGTAGTGAACAATATGGTGAAGATTGTTTATGCATAACTTTAATGTTTATAAATTGTAATGTATTTTGTTGTTAAGTAGTTTTATGCATAACTTCTGTCTTAATTAAAATGTATGGTTGTAAATTTAGTTTATGTATAGAAGAAATGAAATATTTAAAATATGTTAATCTTATATAAATAAAGGTATTTAGCGGAATTTGTATCCAAAAACGCTGCTATATATATAACCTTTTGCGGCATTTATATAAAAAAAAACACCGCTAATGAATAGTACATTAGCGGCGTTTATATACAAACACTGTAATAGGTGTAATATATAATGGCGTTTTTTAACAAATGCCGCAACATATTTTACTTTAGTGGCATTTTTAAACGCAAACGCCGCAAAAAATTTAGACATTAGTGTCGTTTATAACAAATGTCGCAGTAGGTGTACTATATAGTGGTGTTTTTCACCAAACGCTGCAATATATTTGAATTGTTACGGCATTTCTAGACACAAACGCCGCAATATATATGGACATTAGTTGCGTTTATTAAAAAATGCCGCAATAGAGTATAACTATAGCTGCGTTTGGATTACAAACGCCGCAATTGTTGTCGTCTCATACCCTTTGGTGGCGTTTTTATTTACAAACGCAACAATAGGTACATAATAAAAAACGCCGCATTATTGATTTCTAAAATCCTGCGAGACCATTTCCCCTTTCCATCTAATTCTAAACCTAATTTCAATCATCCTAGAGATTTACGATCGAAAACAACTTCTCCCCGTTGCCATTCGAAGCCGTCATCACCTACACCGTCGCTGCTTGGTACTCAACTGTTGCTGGTCGCCGCCGCTTGAAGCCGTCGTTCCTGCTGCTGCTCGTTATCACCTACACCGTCGCTGCCCGTACTCAACTGCTGCTGGTCATCGCCGCTTGAAGCTGTCGTTCCTGCTGCTGCTCGTGATCACCGCCATCGTTACGCCATCAACGCTCAACTCTGTGATTTGAGGTGAAAATTTCACCATTTTTACATCTACATTCCTCTGTTGTTCATGTTCTTTTTCATCTTCTTGGTTCATTGCTCAAATTTATTTAGTTCTACTTCTCGGCATCAGCCTGAGATATGTTAGTTGTGCAACTGTATGAACCCAGTAGCTTATTACAGGGGATTAGTGTACTGAGATATAGGAAGTTGGTTTAGCTATGCGATATATTTCATATTCTAGTTGGAGAACTTCCCATCTTTCTCAGCTTGCTTCAAGTGAAGAAATTCACCAAATCATGCCATCTTTGATATTGTTTGCAACTATAACATATCATTTTTGGATTAAGTAACAATTTTATTTATTTATCAAAAGAAAACAATGTTTTAACAAGGCTGAAAGAACCGATAATCTGTCTCTACTCAGCCTTATGATCAATCTGACCACCTCCATCAATTGTTTTTCCTATGTTCCTTGCAGTGTTCGATTCTTTATTAACTTCACTAAACCTTTCATTCTTTTTTTTCTTATCTTAATATTGACCTTGCTTTATTTTCATGAATATTGAAGATCATAGTGTTAGCGTTCAGATATTCACGCAGTACTAAGTCATTTCACTAAGGATGTTTCTCTGTCTATTACGAGCTGATTATTTTGTGCTTCTAAACACCAGAAAGATAAGGCAGTAGACAGTGTATTATTGTTGATTTAATAGGTTTAATCATACCTTAGCTATTTGGAACTAATAGAAGTAGCATTATGCCTAAGGATACCAGGTCATCTTTGTTAATTATTATTTGGGATTTAAGAATTGCTGCAGCATTTCCTGCCTGAGCAAATAGGGTATGTTAAACTGTCATGACCATTATGAAATTTTTTTTCGTACTGTATACTAATAGATAACATACTTGTGGAGAAAATCAGGAAACTATGCACAAGTGGAAATGGATGAATATTTGTAAAACTGGAAAAAATATGTTTATAGTGCAAGTCAAGGTCTTTTCCTAGACTATATGGATAGTGCTGTTTTCTATGATGACTTATTTGAGAAATTTGATTTTTTTATTAAGAAACATAAAATTTCATTAGTAATAAATACATTACATAAGAATTTATCTTACTAAAGTTTGTCATTCCTTTCTTTGACAAAAAATAATTATATGCTAACCTATAAAGCATGATGAAACTACACATTCTAGGAAAGCCTGTGAATTTATTCTTTTACTTGTATTGCTAAACAAAGAACTGAAAGAACCTAGTACATATTCCTAGACACTAATTTGAACTCTTGTGTCATATGTCTCTCCACCTTTCCAATTTTCTAGTATGTTATTAATAGGAACAATCCATGACTCATCTCCATCCTCTCCACTCAGTAGCATTCTCAAAGA